TAAACAAATGTTTTACTTAAATGAGTTATCATTTTCTTATCATAAACTAAAATTTTGAATCCAGACAGAAAAAGCAAAACTTATACAGTTAAGACATCAATTAAATTGAGTACGGCTATAATACGACTGTATAAATAAGGTGAACACCAACGATAACTAATTTGTAAATTACAGTGATGTGTTGGTACGTAAAAATGATTCTTGCTGCTACCAATGGTTCTAAGGAAAAGAACCAGTACCAAAAACCAACGTTTACAGTTAAGAATTATACGTCCCCCAGTTATTGATTTCTTGGTTTTGGATTTTCTCGTAAAAGGTTATTGGCAATCAAAGTTATTTCCCATTCATTGCTTTATTCGTAAACAACTTTTAATGTAAAATTATTGGTGTCAGTTTGAAAAAAAAAAAACAACCTCATACAAACAACTGTTTGTTATCTAATAGATTATGTAGGCCTATTCTCTAAACAATGATTCGTATATCTTTTAACATTATAATGAAATGTGACAAAAATGACACAACACTGGGTTTTTGGACGTTTGTAATTTTATTTCTTAAGTAGGGAGACCGTGTATTCTAGGGAAAATTACCGGTATCAAGGATCGTCGTCGAAAAGGTTGTTATGAATAATTGGGTAGGCGTAAGTACCCAAGAGATGGGCTATGGGCCTATTGGCTGTATGGTCCGGCGATTGCATCATACGGTGAGTAGGAACAGAAGGCGACCCATCGGAAAAGCAAGTCTAGCATATAATCCATAAACCGTAAACCTCTGTTACAATCACCCACTCAGTTTACTTTACACTTTACACAACCACCATTGAAGCGCCGTCAATGAGTGGAATCCTTGTTAGTAAGCTATTGGCGACGATCATTAACAAATTCAAGTTTCCCAGCCCTATACAACACTGATTCAAGGTCTTCTTTCTGGTTATCAAAACTCAAGAACAATTTTAAACACAACGAATCTCTGGTTCCTGACCTGGATGATGCCTAGTTATTAATTATTTCATTTACGGTTACACTATATTATTCCACTTGCGATTAATTAAATCCGTTGTGTAAGACAACGTTTTTAATGTCACTTGGATGGGATTTACCTTCAAAACGTGATCGGAAATGGTTGCGGTATTTGTAAACAACATTTGTAAACATATCAGTGACAGCTATACAAAATAATCTTGATCCGAACAGCTGTTCGTTATTTCATAGATCATTATGTGATAAAAATTGGACGAAAACTTGACAAAAATCGCACAAAACTGCATTTTTGAACGTCTGTAATTTTATTTACTAAGTAGTGAGGCCATATTTTAATGGCTAAAGACACTCTCGCTAATCCAGTGAATACATTAAAATGACTTGGATCTTGATAGGTACTCTCGTTTTCCTGGAGAAGATTGCGTAAAATGCCATCTTGAGTGTTACAGAAAGACAGACAGACAGAAATTTAGATGAGGCTTGTTTCGGCTTCTTTAATGTATAAAACGTAAAAATAACCTACAAATTTATGATTCTGAGCAATGTACGGACAAAACTCAAATTTTATTTATATAGATGTATAATGGAAAAGGATAGAGATTTACCTTGAATAGTTATATCTTTCTAATCTTGATTCTAGTCTTGAGTTTAATAGTGTTGAAGAAAGAGAAAATCCTTTTTAACTTTTAAGATATACTTACATAATCTAGAGAAAATCACCACTAAATAAAAGTAAAAAGATTGAGGACAAAACTTAGATGTATTTCTTGACCATTTTGAACAATATTTAAAAACAACAATAATCAATGACATGTAGTAAAAAATTGTAAACCCCAAAAACATGTGTTGGAGACAGACTAAAATAAAATTAACCATAGAATACTAAACACCGTTGTACCGATTCGTTGTATAAACAACGAACCTGTAGCAGACGCAAACAATAGTCAGCTGATCAATTACCCAGAATTCCATCAAAAAGTAGTAGGGATGGACTAGCCGCCAGCAACGACTGTACCAGTGTGTTCTGATCCAATTCATTTCGTGGTGTTGGTCGGATAAATTTTCATTTCCTCGTAATCGTTTAGCCTATATCCCGAAGGGATATAATTGCAAGGCGGTTGGAAATTAGAATCAGTTTTGATCGTCAAACCAGTGTCAAAAAGTTTGGTACTGGTCATCTCAAACAATAAATTAAATATCACTCTTCCGTTGACAGTTTCGATATCAGTGTGAAACCACACCGTATCTTCCCTTTTGATAAATCTGTTCAACATTTTCAATCAAACGATTCATAACTGATTGTGTCACTCAAGGTCATTTTAAGTAAATAAACCACAACCAGCAACTCTGTAAATTGATATCATTTATATTCATTGTCATTAATTCTGTCCAATAAATCAAATTGTTACTCATTTTCTAGTTCTCTATAGCCTTGGTAATTCATCGTTATTAATATTATTCAAACATTGAAATAAAGGTAATCCAGTAAAACAATAGGCCACTACAAAAGATTCACCTTTTAAGTGCAACACTAAATATCAGTGAATTGGATTCGAACCTGGAAACATGTGATTATTTGACATGAACTAACAGAATATAACAGGAAAATTTACAATGTGCGACTCACTGAATTCTAAGATATAATAATAAATAACACAATTACTTACAAATTCGGACGTCCACAACAATCACAAACACAATTTGAAGGATAGGGATGAGGAATTGTAACTAGCCGGTATTCTAATTCAAAACGCGATCAATTTGAATTTGTTTGACGAACGTGAAATTTTCAATGGCGGGCTGCGTTGGCCGGTAAAACAAACTTTTTGACACTGGTTTGACGATCAAAACTGATTCTAATTTCCAACCGCGTTGCAATTATATCCCTTCGGGATATAGGCTAAACGATTACGAGGAAATGAAAATTTATCCGACCAACACCACGAAATGAATTTAATTTGCACGAACGAACGAAAAGGTTTCCGACTAGTCACGAGAGAGGATCAGAACACACTGGTACAGTCGTTGCTGGCGGCTAGTCCATCCCTACTACTTTTTGATGGAATTCTGGGTAATTGATCAGCTGACTATTGTTTGCGTCTGCTACAGGTTCGTTGTTTATACGACGAATCGGTACACCGTGGGCTTCCACATTTTCCATGTTTACATTTTGAAAGAGTGTAAACATATCAATTAATATTTAGTCAGCTGTAAATACTTAAATTTGACAGTTCGAAGAGCAGAGGTTAAGAGGTACAGGTTCTGCTCCAGATATATTCTAAAAATATAAAACAAGCATTTTAAAGTAAAGATAAAACATCTGATTAGAGATAATAAGGTTTTGGTTTGTTGTATTAATAGTCAAAGGTTATATATTAACAGGCCATATAAAATATATTTAACATATTTACACATTAAAGACTAAAAAGTTGAAAATAATTTAAAAATAAAAAACTTTTTTAAAACAAAACGTTTTTAAACGCATTCAAAAGTAGAAAATAATTTATAAATATGTTGAGAGTATAAATCCTTGTAAGATTTAAAACAAAAAACGTTGGGTGCATGCAATTAATTGATAATAATACATTAGTTTAATAGGTGAAGGTAAATTGTAAATTATCTATTGCATGCACCCCACGTTTTTCGTTTTAAATCTTACAAGTATTTATACTCTCAACATATTTATAAATTATTTTCTACTTTTTAGTGCGTTTAAAAACGTTTTGTTTTAAAAAAGTTTTTATTTATAAATTATTTTACACTAATTTTGTTAAACCTTTACAAAAGGGGATGAAATTAGAAATAATAACTGTTTTGGGGTGCTAATTTAATGGTTTTGACCAAGAACTAAGTTTATCTCAACCCATCTTTATTTGCCTTTTCATACTTGACAAAGACAATTTCCAATATTTCAATCGGGGAAGCCTTTTTATGGTCACTAGCCAAAAGACCAAAGCTATCTTAGTAAACCAATATTTATTCACAAACATGTTTGCTGCCTTTAGCAGCGTTAAACCTCTGGAGTCATTCAAATTATTTATTGAAAATAACATCAACAATAGCAAACAAAGACAAACAACAAACTGTATTTTACACAAAAGATATGGTGTACAGGGATATTTACACTGACACATAGATAATTTGATTCTGAGTTTGTTTAAATATTACAATAATTTGTTTTATATTTGAGCTTTTTAGGAACTTGAGTCCCTACAAGCCCCTAGTTTAATTTAATCTCTTAATAAACTAATCGGTCTGAAAGCTAGTAATACTAAATCAATAAATAGAGTTACCTTCGTCAATCAGCTCATAGTAGTTGTAACATTGTTACGGCCGTTTCAGCTGCCATCATCAGACGTTCAGCCTTAGTGGCGTCGTTAATATACAAAAACACAAACTGTCACATCACACGCGACGTACACATACATAAACATAAACATAAACGGGGGTTTTTGACTAAACAGGCCTGTTGATTACACATATCCGCACAAGAGCAAGTAGCTGACTGGAGTCATTCTTGCGGTGTTGTGTCAGCGGCGGCATTATCATTTGTACTTTGCCCTCTTGGTCTTGAATCCTTCCTCTGATTTAAAATACTATTGAAAATTACGTGGGATTTGAATTGTAGTTTGTCATTTAAAATAAGTTCGCTATTGTCATTTTTTGTATGTGCTTTGTAAATTTCAAATTCTTCCAGGGTGTCCAATTTATTGCCTAAGGCTGAACGTCTGATGATGGCATGGATATGCTGAAACGGCCGTAACAATGTTACAACTACTATGAGCTGATTGACGAAGGTAACTTTATTTATTGATTTAGTCAAAAGATCAGCTCAGGGGCTAAAAAATATGGATTTTAATAGCTAGTAATATCTCCTAATAGACAAAATACGCTTTAACTGCCTCCCAAAACAGATTAGAAGCCATGATGTAAACTTTATGGTATTCTATTCTGTATGTTTTTCTAAAGACCTACTTGTCCATAATGTATGCTAGTGAGTATGTCAAATGTGATTGTCAGATAATGGAGAAACGCAAAGAACAAACCATGGAAGAGTTGGGTAACCTGAACATACTATCACCTCTGGAGGAGAGCCACTTGGCCATTCTGACAGACTTGGAATACATGGTGCATCAGGTGGACAATGCCAAGGAGTTCATCCTCAGTGGTGGGTAAGTTTGGCGATTACAGTTCACTCTCTCTCTATGCAATACTGCGATTGAATTTATTGTTATAGGAGTCTTTCTTCTTTCCTGCCGCTCATTTTAGTCTAATTCTGTGGTCCTAACAGTGAATCATAGTGCTTTGTTTGAAGTTCATTTTTGGTAATAAACTTTTAAGAACGAATAGTAGTGATTATTGGGAAGACTATGTACATTATTTTTCTTTCTTTGATTAATTAATTGTCAATTTTACTTATTTATCTGATGCTTATTTTATTTAAGTTCATGTAATATTAGTAAGCTTAATTAATTGAATTTAGGATATTGATAACAATATTCCCGCCTTCGAGACACAACTGTATACGGGAAGTAATATGATAACTGAAATATTGTTTATCCAATCTATATACTTAACCAGTTAAGGAAGCAATTATTTTGGTCTCTGCAGGACTGGTGGCAGCAATTAATTTATACTAGTGGTCGTCCAGTGGTCGAAAACTCAACCAAAAATATGTAATGTACCCGCATTGAATATTGGATACTGAAGTAGACATTCCATCTTTATGGACCAGTTGTTGCAATTTTTTTATTAAAAACATGTAGTTGTGTGAACCAGTCACAGTATGCCGATTCGTGTCTAAAATTATATTTTCTATCTTATTTTTTGTTGCTGACAAAGTTGATGGGTCATAACAGTTACGGTAGTTGCTATAGCTCTTAATAAGTCATTCTGGTAAAAATCATTGTGAATTTGAGAGAAATTAGTCATTTAGGTCAGCGCAATCTGTTGGTGGCCCACATCAACTACGACAAATTTAATTAAAACTGGCGACAACTTTAACATAGGAATGGAATGTTTAGTTGTAAGTCAAAGGTACAGGCTTCTCTATTTTCACCCCACGCTGTAAATAAAACCTGTTATTGTAATTTCTTCCATTTGTTTTTATTTTCTGTTTATATTTCGTTGTTATTTCGTCACCAGCATATGGTAACCCATAAAGCCCATGTTAATTTTGTTTAAATTTCTAATTCATTTTTTGTGCTTATATTTATATATTGAGCCTATTTTAGTTTTTAAAGAGATTCTGTACATCAACAGAAAACCCTCTTTCTAACAGTATCCGTAAAAACGGTGCCCTCTAGCGGTAAAATGTACTTATACAAAAATGAAGAGCATTAAATTTCCAACCATAATATCCATTACATCAAGTTCCTAAAATCAACACTTAATGAGATACATGGGTCATAAGAAAAAAAAAAAAACATTCAGAGAAACTAGTATTATTGTGGTAAAGACTATTGCAAATTTTGACTTAAAAAACAAATTTTGATATAATTTTGATATTGGGTCGACCCAATAACAATGGCAATAACAGTTCCTTTGTTTGGTCCCTCAGCTTCCAGTTCGGCCCGACTTCCTCTCCCCTCAATTTTTTTTAACAGCTGTACTGCATAGACGAGTATTTAGCAAATTTTTATCAGTTTATATAACTTGATGTAGTATTTAAAACAATCACTTTACCACAATAATACTAGTTTCTCTGAATGTTTTTTTTTTTCTTATGACCCATGTATTTCGTTAAGTGTTGATTTTAGGAACACAATGTAATGGACATTATGGTTGGAAATTTAATGCTCTTCGTTTTTGTATAAGTACATTTTACCACTAGAGGGCACCGTTTTCGAGATATTTACAGAAAACCTAAAAATTGTGCATCTACACCCCCCCTCCCCCCCATAGCTCACACCCCATCAGTCAGGACTTTTAGTATGTTGTTCAAGAGGTTATCCCCTACAACTGTGCAAAAATCCGGGACTACACCATTTTTTCCCACTCATTCAGCTTCGTTGACTGGACTATGAAAATAAAACATGTGATTGGAATTTCTTCCATTTGTTTTGATTTTCTGTTTATATTGCGTTGTTATTTCGTCACCAGGTTGGCAACCCATAAGGTCCATGTTAATTTTTTTAAGATTTAAATTCATTTGTTGTACTTAATTTTGAGCATATTTTAATTTACAAAGAGATTCTGCACATCTACAGGGAAATACCTTTCCAACAGTATTCATAGATTTTCTCTGTGATGCATACGAGCTGAGGAAAAAGGTTTTAAAGAAACATGCTTGCATATTAATATATAGACTAGACGTCATCCAGTGGTCGAAAACTCGGCCAAAAATATGTAATGTTCAGACCTCTCTATTTTCACACTACACTGAAAATAAAACATGTGATTGAAATTTCTTCCATTTGTTTTTATTTAGTTTTATATTGCGTTGTTATTTCGTCACCAGCATGGCAACCCATAAGATCCATGTTAATTTTTTAAAGATTTAAATTAATTTGTTGTGCTTATTTTTAAGCCTATTTTAATTTACAAAGGGATTCTCCACATCTACAGGAAAATTTTGTTCCAATAGTATTCATAGATTTTCCCTGTGATGCACACGAGCTGAGGAAAAAGGTTTTAAAGAAACATGCTTGCCTATTAATATAGATAGATAGATTATAACACAGGGTTTTGGTCAAAACTCTATAACTTCATTAATTTGTAATATAGGCTTAACTGATTAATTTTTCAACTAACTCTCCGTTTTGATCAAATGTCTTATCCGCTGGCTTATCCGGTGCGCACAAATTCTTCACTAAATTGTACGTTTTCAAACCCATATATAACCGTTAACAAAGTAGAGACGTTTTTCTCGTTCTTAATGTCACTAGCGTCAATAAAAATCAATAACCTCTCTATATATGAGGACCACGTTTCTTCAGCAGCATCAAAGGCATTCATAGAACCGTTAAAGACCTGCCATTTTATACTCGTTAAAAAGTCAGTCAATAAAAACTGATGAAACTCCTGAAATATAAATTAATTTACGACTCACCGAATGTCTCGTTACACTGCAAACTCTTACCTCCCATTACTGTCCTATTAATATCCAGTTTGCACTTTTTCACTCTCACTGCACAGTTCACACACAGTTCCTTGAAGACGCGGTCACAACAGTCCTTCCACTGTTGGTCGCACAATTAATTGTTCACACGCGCCAGCCCTTCCGCTTGCTGGTAACAATCTTCTGCACACACGCGAGAGCCCTTCCTCTTGCCGGTTACGTGAATTCTCACTGCCTCGTTACCAAATTGGAATGTCCGTGGTTTAATAATGAAGATGGAATTAAATAACAATACATTTTACAGTTAAAATGCCGTGGCCGATACGGACGGGACTAACACGGGTGTTGGTTACATCACGGGAGCTGCTCGAAGACTGTGAGGAAAAGCCGGGAAAATAGGAGCGTGGTCAGGCTGTGTTCTGATTGGCTGGTTGAGGGTGGCGTGATGATCGGACCACGGCAACGGTTTATTTACTCAAACACTGCCATCATGATACATACATTATAATGGTCATACTCAGCAGAGTATACTTTATGAAATACACTACAAAAACATATAGGCCCGGTTTCCCCAACTCATTTAAACTTAGTTTTAAGTTAAACGGCGATTTAAACTTAGTTTAACTTTGATTTGTGTTTCCCCAAATTTAAACTAGGTATTAATCTAAGTTCAAACTAAACCACCTCTCGACTTGGTTTAACTACTGGGGATAAAATAAACTGAGTTCAAATTAGTAAGTTACAACAGTAACATAACCTCAAATAAAAAAAAGTAGGTGTTAAAACAATAATAATTGAAGCAACTAAAAATAATTCATTTGGACGAAAATAGGCTTGGTTTAGGGTTAGCTTAGAGAGGGCCTATTATAATAAGGGACAGAATTGACCATTTCAATAAATGGAATGAATCTGAATTTGACAACAACTTATAATAACTTGATAACATAACCTTAAACAGTGATGTTATTCTAGCTGCATTCGCACATTGCTGTCTGCTCTACTGAGTTGTAGCGTAGGGTTGTGGTGGTTGTAGGAAACACTAGCCCAAAGCCCACCGAAGATTCCTTACAAATACACATTCAGGATTGCCAACCGCTCGAATTGCCGTTTATCTTAAACGAAGCCAGTAAAATGTTGGAGAAACTGAACACACATTTTAAACGGAGTTTAAAAATAAACTAGTTTATTATAAACGTAGTTTACACCATTTTGGGGAAACCGGGCCATAGGGTAATGTAATTAGAACAGCTGGAATGCATCTTTAATTGAAGTAAAAAAATAAAAATATCAAATAGACATAATAATATATACAGGGTTGTAGTAAAGTCCGAAGACGGTTAAATATTTAAAAAAATAATGAGCTACAATACTTGGTACAAAGTTACAGAGCATAAAACTGTATCTTAACACATATTCAGTGACCCAATAACTCTTCAGGGGGACGGCCTACAAGGAGTCGTAAGAAAATCTTAAATGGAAGCATAGGTCAATATGCACATCAAATGAAAGGTCTTTTTTTAGTAGAATACAATGCCGCAAACCGCACTTCAGAAGGTTGATCCTGCGCAAAATGGCAGCCGTTCAAAGATTTCTTGAATCTGCCATTTTGAATCTTTGAACGACTGCCATTTTTTACTCAGGCGTTCTTTTGAGCTTGAATTTACGGCATTGTAATCTACTAGTGAAGACCTTTAATTTGATGTGCATATCCAGGGCTACAGATATACAAGGGCTGGCTCACTCCTTTGATGTTAGCGGTCGCCGCGTGATCCTACTTCCCCTCCCCCGCCCCTCCTCAGTGACGTAGCGCTGGTACATCGGCACGAGCGGCGACGGTAGCCTAGCACGGCAGTGCATATGTCTCCCGGCATCTACGCGCATATTAATAATTGTGTTTATAATAACTAGAGGTCGTCCAGTGGTTGAAACTCGACCAAAAATGTATGTATATTTTCTTAATTTTAATCACATAATGCATGTCTAAAATTATATTTTCTATCTTATTTTTTGTTCTTGACAAAGTTGATAGGTCATAACAGTTGCCATAAATCATAATGAGTCATTCCATAAGTTTGACATGGTAAAAACATTGTATATTTGACAAAAAATAAA